CAGTCAGGCCCTCAGAGCTGAGCTCTTAAAGGGGAGTCAAAGCCCCCCTGCCATCCCTGGTAGAGATCAGATATTAACATTCTCCTATCATCACCTTTGTCTCTTGGGCACACGTCACTCTTCCTTTCTTTCTGGCTGTATCAGGACATTTCCTCTTCATCTTTCTCTGCTAGTCATCATTTCCCATCTTAAAGTCACCAGTAGATTTTGCCTGACTGACTTCCCTGGGACAGAGTCAAGGACCCAGGAACCGATAAAGAGAAAGAAAGGACAAATAGGGACAGGGCTGCTTTTTCTAGTCTCCCACTCACTTGGTTTGGGAGACCTGGGAAGGTCCATTGACCCAGGCAAAGAGTGCTGGGAAGTGCAGGAACTTTCCTGGCTCCAGATGTTTGAAGTCAGAGGAATATTGAGCTCCACCATATCTTTGAATACCCTCCTGAATTTTTCTTAGTTTTTTTAAAATAAGAGACACTAGTTAAGTGTTTTTATTGATGAATGTGGGAGTGAGGAAATGTGTTTGGTCCTGACGATAGTCGTCAGAAGCCACGGTACTGACTTCCCATATAAGCCTTAGGATTGTATTCTCGGTGCTGCGCCCACGGAATTAAAATCACTTGATTCTCCTAATCTGTAGGATCAATATGGGAAAACCCAGCCAACCAGCAGTCTTGGTTCCAAAGGTACTCACAGCCTCCACGATGTCTGTCTGGTTTTCTCCTCCTGTTGTTCCCAGAGAGAGCCCCTCCAGGCAGATCCCTGCTCTCTGGCAAGAAGGGGCATCGACTGGGATGGCAGCTGTGTTCCAGGAGGTTAAGGGATCAACTGGAAGGGATGGGGAAGGGTCTCCCTATTTCATTCTATTTGCTGCAATCACAGCTTTCAATTTATCACACTTGGGTGGTGGTGGGGGGGTGCTCATCCTCCCAACAGAGGACTGAAAATATGTGAACTCAAGTTAACCACTAATAATTATACATCAAGTATAAATGGGGACAAGGAGATAAAAGGCAGGGCAGAGCCAAAGGCTCCTAGGGAAATGAAACATTTTTAGCTGGAATGTAAAGAATTTTGGTATTGGCATTGAAAGGAAATTCAAGCTGCCCTTCCTCTGCATCCCAAAGACAGGAGACAGCTCACAGTTGTTTGGGTCAGGATTATAATTTTACTGATTTTAGAAATCTAATATCCACCTTAGCCGTGGCTTTAGTGGAGGATCTCTGCAATGTTGTAGATCTTATGGAAATGTCTTTTACATCTAATTTTATTTTGACAAATAACTGCATATATGTGTGGGGTACAATGTGATGTTTCAATACATGTGTACATTGTGGAAAGATAAAGCCAGGATAACTAAAGAATCTATCACCATATGTATTTATCATTACTTTGTTGTGAGAACAGTTAAAATACTCTTTTTTTTGGCTTTTTTTGAAATAGTACATTATTTAAAAAATATTTTTCATTGTCGATGGACACAATATCTTTATTTGATTTATTTATGTGGTGCTGAGGATTGAACCCAGTTCCTCCATATGCTAGGCAGGTACTCTAACACTAAGCCACAACCCCACCCCCTATTTTTAATTGTGGTCACCTTGCTGGGGTAAGAGAACACCAGGATTTATTTTTTCCTCTCAAACTAAAACTTTTTACCTGTTGAACTATATTTCCTCTTTCCCTAACCACCTTCCTTCTCCATCTCTGGCTTCTGTTAACTATCTACTCGTAGAAAGGCTAATTTAATTGTGACACGGTACACTTTCTTTCTTGGAAACTTAAAATCTCTGTTCCAGGTGCTGTTGATGGATGTGCATTTGACTGTGCTAAGTTAATCAATAAACTTAAAATACAATAAAAAGAGGGAAAGTTCAATACATAAAAAACTTTCCTATTATCATGAGCAAGCTGAAAATTTCGGTGAGAAGTGTAGACTTCCATTCTCTGTAACAAATTTTAGTATTCAATAGCAAGTTTTTATTGAGGACCTACTGTCTGCCCAATAGTGAGCAGCTGGAGAGTGTGATGGGAGATCAAAGAAAAGGAAAAAGCATAAATTTCCTACTACTACCATTTACAGTAACTTAAGTGAGCAGAGCATGGGACGTGTGTGGTGTCCATATTTCGACAGCCACTCACCTCAGTGAGTGTATTTTTAAAAAAAAATATCTTGGATTTCCTTTATCTTGTTTAGTTTCACACTCCAGACTCCTTCTCTTTCTAGTTTCAGCCAATTGTTTAAAAATCAAACAATGCTTGTTGGTCAGGACAGGAGCTCAGGGCACTGTGCTGGAATGATCCATTAAAAGCATAGTCTCCCTCATCAAAGGATGGCATGTCCTATCATAAGAGTAGTAATTCATGCAATGTGATCATGAGTGCTGACAGCTAAAGGGCTCTATTACCTGCAGGAATCTGTGACTCAGCATGTGGCCCCTGGAAAGCAGGCTCTTAGCAGCCATTGGAGCCCAAGGTGAGCTTCAGGTCACCCAGGCCAACACTTCCTCCAAACACTTTTTAAACATAAGAACCTGAGGTCAAAGAAGAGATCGATATTTGGCAAGAGAGCCAGTCGCTATCAGAGGAATGTCAGCCAAAAGTTGTACTATTTGGAAAAAAAAAATTAAACCATTATCTGGTTTCAAAACATTTTCATCATTCCAAAATGAAACACCTTACCCATTCAGAAGTTTCTCTCCTTCCTTCAGAATGCTAAGCATGGACTAGTGGACCTTTCCAGGTTATCTGATCCTATTGCAATCTATATCTTTCACTATCTTTGAACAATTTTAAACGCTGTAAAGTTGTAGGAAACCGAGGGTTAATGCAAATTATTCTTGTCTCTTGAAAAGCAAAATGAAATTTGTCTTGTACCGATCACTACCTCCTACACACAAGCGATTAGTTTTGCATCTATTAAATTTACTTCTGTATTTTTAGTTGCCTGTAGAAGCAGTTTTTAACATCTTACTGGTACAGTTAATTAAATAAGTTAAATAAAGCCTTTGACATGTTCATTTTATATTAGTATGACAGTTATAAGTTTACTTTAAAATTTATCTTTTACCAAAAAAAAACCCACAAAATTTTAGTAACACTCTCTATTGTTTCTACTAAAACAATGATATTTCAACAAATTTAAAGATATAATTGGCTTTTACTAGTGATTCATGAATCAGGACAGCATCTCATTCTGTAAAATAGAATAGGTGCTCCACTGACCTTGACAATACAAGATGAGAATAAGAAAACAGAATAATTTAAAAAGCAGATTGGTTATTATCAGGTTACTTTTCTTGTAAGAATTAAATCAGAATGGATTTCCTTATGATGCTAGCTCTTCTAAATTACTTGGAATCTTCTGTTTGTACGAAAAACTGTTTGGGGTTCCACCTGCTTCATTAAAGTTTTGATGAAATTATACAGAACATAGTATGAGACTCCATTTGGCTTGTTTTCTGGGGGACCAGTGTAGGAGCTCAGTCTAAAACAATGGACTCACTGGGGAATGAAGTCATCAAAATTATAGTGTTATATTGAGTGCATGTATAAATATGTAACAATGAATTCCACTATTATGTCTAATCATAATGCACCAAAGGGGTGCGGACAATGGCCTCCTGTATGTTCTATTTAAATACTTTCTTAATTGAGAATAGATATTGGCACCAATTATATGAGTTTCTGAAATGAGTAAGCAATTTTTTTTTGTAAATTTTTAAATCACATTTTCATGTCTTCATTGACCATGCATTGTAAGTAACAACTTTTTTAAAAAAATAATTTATTATGGTTAAGTTTATGGAACATAAAATTAACAATTTTTTGAAATAAGTATTTCAGTGGCTTTTAGTACATTCTTAATTTAGTGTAAAACATTATCTACTTTCAAAACATTTTGCTGGTCATGGTTGTGCTTGACTATAATCACAGTGGCTCAGGAGGCTGAGGCAGGAGAATCTTGAGTTCAAAGCCAGCCTCAGCAACTTAGCAAGGCCCTAAGCAACTAACAAGACCCTGTCTCAAATAAAATATTTTAAAAAATGGTTGGGATGTGACTCAGTGGTTAAGTGCCCCTGGGTTCAATTTCTAGTACAAAAAAATTTTTTTTCATCAATTCAAAATGAAACACCTTACCCATTAAGAAGTTTCTCTTCATTCCTCACTCTCCTTCCTCCTGACAACCACCCATCTGGATTCTATCTCTATGAAATTTCCTGTTCTGGATATTTCATATAATTGGAATGTATTTGAATGCTTTCATTGAACATAATGTTTTAAAGTCTATCCATGTGGTAGCATAGATCAGTACTTCATTCCTTTTTATGGCTGAATAATATTCCACTGTGTGTATATATATATACTACAATGTATATCCATTCAACTAATGATGGCTGAATGAATATGGCTGGACATATGGCTGTTTCTACCTTTTAACTAATGTGAATAGTACTTCTGTGAGCATGCATGGGTATGTACTTGTGTGCATCTCATTTTCAGGTCTTCTGGGTATATCCCTAGGAGTGAAATTTTGGCCTCACATGGAAGTTCTGTTTAGCTTTTGGAGGAACTGCCAAGCTTTCCATAGAGGATAAACTGATTTACGTTTCTACCGACAATGAGTGACGGTTCTAGTTTTTCCATATCTTTGTCAACCCTTATTTCCTTATTTTCTGTTTTTTAAATCATAGCCACTGAGTGGGCATGCAGTGATACATATTTGTGGTTTTGATTTCCTCAGTAACTATGGATGTTGATTTTATGTATTTATTAATCACACAGAATTTTGAATGATGCATTTTTTGAATCTACTAGGGGAGTTGACTTTTGAAAAGAAATATTTGATGACACCCATAGTATTAAAAGTAATTATCCCCTAGTTTATGTTTCTTAATTTCATATTTCATGTATTAATTTTCATTACCTCTAGAAAGTTCTCTGTTTTGGAGGCAGACTGGAAAGGATTTTCTCTACCTGCTACATGACTGTCTTTGTATGGCGTTTTTCACAGACCATGCCTGGGTCTTCAGGCAAGGGCTGTTAAAGAACTCAAAAAACACGTTGCCATGGTGATAATCTCTGTCCTTGTGAAACACTGCTGTGTGAGCTGTTTTATGCCCTACAATCTTGCTTGGAGCTGTTTCTTTGCAAGATTTATTTGCTGATTTGCTTTTTAAATGTGCACATGTGGTACATTTTTACTAACGCCAACAACAGCCACAACAGCCATTGATATTAATTGAACATTCATTAGATGCCAGATTGTCTACTAGGTGTTTTAATCCCAGAAGAAAGTCAGTTCCTGAGATTGGATTTTGTCTTTCTGTGTCCATTTTTGCACCCTAACATTTGTCCTGGCCCTGCATTGACTGACTGAATGAACACTCCTTTGAGGTAATTATTGTGATTATCTTCATTTTATAAATGAAGAAAAGGAGGTTAAGAAATGTAAAGCAATTTTCCCAAGGTCAAATGGGTAGGCAGTAGTGGAATGCAGATTAGAACTCAGGCTGTTGCTCCCAAGTGTCTGTCCTATGGCCTGTGAGCTACGGTGCTCAGGAAAACACGTTCACCTCTTCTTTCCATATCCTACTTGGGCAGCAAGTTATTTTTATCAAAGAAGAAATAAGCTAGTCTCCTTTCAAGAGACTAATTGTTGGTGGGATAAATTAGTACAATCACTATGGAAATCAGTATGGAGGCTCCTCAAAGGACTAGGAATAGAACCACCATAGGACCCTGCTGTCCCCTCCCCAGTGTTTATCCTAAAGAATTAAAATCAGCATAGTATAGTGATACATGCATACCCATGTTTATAGCAGCACAATTCACAATAGCCAAACTATGCAACCAGCCTTGGTGTATGACTGGGTAAAGAAAATCTGGTATGTATACACCATGTTTTAATCAGCCATAAGGAAGAATGAAATCACGTCATTTGTAGGAAAACAGAAGGAA